CACACACACTCATTAATATAACAATTTCTTCGGCTATCTCTCCTCGCTCATCCTTCCAACGTGTCCAAACCATCTTTCTCTCCGGATTCAGTGGTATCCTGCAATTCCCTCCTTCGTCTTGCAAGCTCTATCACTCTCTCATTTCTTACTCTTTGTTCCCATCTAATGCCGAGAACTCTTCTCAAACAGTTCATTTCAAATGCCTGAAGCTTTCTTCTCTCTTTCTGTGCTGTTTCAAATACTGCCTGGAGACGGGAGACGTTCCTGTTCTTCTCTATATTTTGCTCATCTTTCTGAGTGCTGCATATCCCTTGTTGATTCTGTCCTTAATTTGTTCAAAACTCCCAGTTATTTAAAGCATTGTATCTGTTCTACTCTTTCCCCGTTGACTGGAAAATTAAGGTTTCCCTCTCGCGTCCAGTCTTCATGTTTTTGTCTTCTGCTTATATATTCTTACTTTATACTTACTGCAAGTTGTATATGCACCGTTGGTCATTGTCTGCAGCTTCTCTGATGTTTCGTCCAGTAGGACTAAATCGTCTGCATAGATTAAATTAACTCCGCTTTCTATACGTTCTTCTAGTGCCTCTCTCATTAGAAACAAAGGTATAAGTTAAATAAATGTGGGGATAGTTGGCATCCTAGCAGTACTCCTTTTCTTGTATTCTTCTGTCACTATTTTACCTTTTACTCACCACTACTCTGGTTTCTCTATTTATTTTCCTTATAAACTGCACTATGTCTTCCTCCGTTCCATAATAGTTTAATATTTCTCCTAATGATGGTCCCCACACTGAATCAAATGCCTGCTTAAAATCTATGAGCACGTGTATACCTGATCAGTTGTTCCTCTCCCTGCTCCAAAACCCGCCCGTACCTTAGTTAATATCTCCTCTTCTCTTTTATTTATCCTTCTCTCTACCGTTCTAGTCAGAACATTGTATGCTTGTGGCAGTAGACTGGTTGGTCCATAGTTGGCTCTGTTATATCTCCTTTCTGCTAAAGACCAATCTGTTGGCATTCTCCTCTCCTTCAGGGCGTGGCAGTTCTTTCTTATACCTTTCTGTTGTACGTTCGTTATTCATTTGTCTCAGCGTGAATGGGAAATTCTGGATTCTGAATTTATCTTCATGTTCTTCGTAAAGTTCTTTAGGATAGTTCTTTTCCATGCTTTCTTCACTTCCTCTTCTGAGACTTTCTCTCCATGATTACTTCACTTCCTCTTCTGAGACTTTCTCTCCATGATTACTTCGTACCTTCAGGGATTTTTTCCACTAATAAGTTCTATCTCTGACTAATCTAGACAGTGCTCTCGACTTCCCCCACTTTTAAAACTAATCTCACTGCTGTTACATTTGGCACACACACACACACACTTTGTGTGCATGTGTGTTTTTGTGGATGTGTGTGTGTATAGACACACACACATATATTGTGTGTTTGTGTGTGTTTACACACACATTCACACACACACATATATATATGTGTGTGTGTGTGTGCGTGTAAACACACACACACACAAACACACAATATATGTGTGTTTGTCTACACATACACACACATCCACACAAACACACGCACACACACACACACACACACACACACACACACACACACACACACACACACACACACACACACACACACACACACACACACACACACACATATATATATATGTATATATAGCTCTTTCATCCCTTCTTTCCTCTCGCCGAAGCCTCCCGGTGCCGAAGAGGTGCATGGAGGGAAAAGGTTTCAGGTGCAGCGCAATCAATACCGAGTTCCGCCTTCAAACGCACCGAGAGCTATTAGCCAAACACTCGAGGTCACCCGCTTCTGCTCTTTCAACCTACTTACCCTTGTAAACTTACCGAGTGTTACGTGTGATAAGAGCTGGTAGCATTAGCCATGTTATCATGCTTAAAGACACTGTTCTTCGCAAACTGCAAACGAAAGGGAATGACTATTTTCAGCCAATCAACAGCAAAATATTCCACAGCTGTAACAGATGCATTAATCTGTTGTTTTTTATGTTTAAAAAACTGTTATGAAAACTCGTGATTCCCTGATAGTAAAGACTCTTTTTTTTGTTAGTGTTATATCGTTAAAGTTATAGACTGATTTGACCTGTTACTGATGTTATAAGAGGACAAGGGAAACCACTGTTAAAGAAGGTTCTTGCCGGAGATGTTGACTGTAGGACAAGAGTGCTCTTCTTCTTCTTCTTCCTCCTCCTCCTCCTCCTCCTCCTCCTCCTCCTCCTCCTCCTCCTCCTCCTCCTCCTCCTCCTCCTCCTCCTACTCCTCCTCCTACTCCTCCTCCTCCTTCAGATTGGAGGATGGGAAACCAGGTCATGTCGCTTTCCTTCAGGAGGGACTAGTGTCGATAATAGCTTTAGGACAAGACTAGTGTCCACGTGGCGCTTGGCAGAATGTTCTATGGCCTTAGTCACCATCTTGCATTGTAATCGCAATCAAACCAGAGAGACCTCAGCTGG